TTGGAGTCGGACCCCTGTCCAGGGTCCTCCACATCCTCCAGAGCTGACTCATAGGGCCCCTCGCTGCCGGAGTCTGGTGGCAGTGCCAATGGTTCCTGCTGGGCCACAACAGATATCTAAGGACCTGAATATTATTGGTAGATTTTGCATACAAAGTGTCTTTCTATTGCAAAATGAGTTCATAGTAATTCAAGGTACCTATTGTTTCTCTAGCCTGCCACCAGACTGCATGTGAATTCAGCTCCACTTCTGACACCTTATATTATTCATTTATGAAGAAGCAATGACACCAAAGGTGAACTGACTGTGTTTATTAAGCTCAGAGTTGAACTCAGCTCTAATCCGAAACAAAGAGGAACTTAGCATCTTCCACATAACACACCTTTGCTCTCCACAACATAGATAGGCTCAACTTTTGTAAATTAGAACTTTTTAACTGAGGGGGTGGCTGAAATTAGAATACAACAGCATGCTAGGAATTATATTTAATTTTAAATTTTGGTATCCGATTGCTGCTTTCTGCATTACAGCCTAGTAAAATGTCACCTATGGCTCAAATGAAATTATTTCAAAACATTGCCTTGGTGCATAGTTTGGATATTAAGCTAAGCAAATATCAATTATTCAAGAGGATGTGACATCAGATATGTCTTGTAGATGTGGCACCAAATAAGTATGCATGTATGAATATCTTTTGAAGTGATAGATAGCTTATATATTTTAGGTTTAGTCATCAACGTTAAAGGAACAAGCAGTCAAGAAATACACTGCAAGCTAGCAATTGATAGAACAGCCTTCAAAATATATTCAGATATTATGATGTGTCCATGCCTACAAAAATCACAATCATGCAAATAATGGTATTCTATTAAAACAAAAGTTGGAGTATTGATGCTTTTGAATTTTGATTTTGGAGAATATCATGCCTAGTTTTTTTTTTTTAAACCTAACTATATGGTCACTAAAGTCAAGGCCAAATTTATAGCCCATGATTAATCAAGCCATCAGTTAATCAAAGAGATGAAGATTCAAGTATTGAAGATTTATCATCACAATACCAGAGGTGGTATTCAGCAGGTTCTGACCAGTTTTGGAGAACCAGTAGTGGAAATTTTGAGTAGTTTGGAGAACTGGTAAATACCACCGGTTTTGGCCCCGCCCCTATCTATTCTCTGCCTACCGAGTCCCAGCTCATTGGGAGGAAATGGGGATTTTGCAGAATCCTTTCCCTCTAGTGGGGAGGGAATGGAGATTTTACAGTATCCTTCCCCTGCCACGCCCACCAAGCCATGGCTGCCAAGCCATGCCCACCATGTCATGCCACACCCACCAAGCCACACCCACAGAACCAGTAGTAAAACAATTTGAATCCCACCACTGCACAATACCTGTGCGATAAATCTGTGTATTGGTAAAAGCTCATTTACGTTGATGACACAATTTCATTTCATCAGAACTACACACAGATAAATAGAATTGTACTGTTGTGTTCTTTCTTTGGTGATTGGAGGTAGGAATCGAACTTATCCCGAGTAAAATTTCATTCTAACTGAGTAACCTCAAAATAGCAATAGCAATAGCAGTTAGACTTATATACCGCTTCATAGCGCTTTCAGCCCTCTCTAAGCGGTTTACAGAGTCAGCATATTGCCCCCAA